GAAGGATGAGAAAGGAGAGGCTGATAAAATCTCAAGGCCAAACTAGGCTGCCACAACAAAGGAAGACAAAAATGATCGTCTGTACTTTCAATGCACGTACGCTAGCATCAGATGCATCCATCGAGGACCTGATGGTACAAGCGCGAAAGATCAAGTACGACATTATTGGTCTGACTGAGACAAGAAGGCACGAATCTCACAATGCCGTTTTCGACACTGGAGAAGAATTGTTCCTCGGAACATGCGATAAAAGAGGTGTCGGAGGCGTCGGTGTCCTTGTCAACACAAACTTGGCCATGAGCATTGATTCATTGGAATCGGACGTTTACATTTGAATAGATGTGGCTCACTGCTGGCAGTTTCTATGTTCGTTGTCTATGCACCAACATCTCATTATGATGAAAGAGAAATTGAAAAGTTCTACATGGAGCTGGAGAAGTTCTATAAAGAAGACCACACCTTCTACAACTGAAACCCAAGCACAAAAATTTGTAAGTCTACAACTGTACCTCATGGTGTTTCACTAATAAAAATTAAAAAAAAAATTTTTGGAATTTCAAAATTGCACGGCCACTTACTGCAGCCACGCGACATTATATGTTATTCTTAACCAGCAATAGAAAACAAATCGTCTACTGTTGCCTTTTCAGCATATCTGAGTGTTGGGGTAAAATCAACTAATAATGGTGGGTCTGGTGTCAAAATATTGAATGTGATCAAAGTAGAGAAAGAGTAATGTGGAAATCATCTGCCCCACAGGTAGGGGGAGGGTGTGGGATGGGGGCATACTGGGGTTCTTGGGGGTGAAGAATGGGCACTGGTGAAGGTACGGGTGTTTCATTGTATGACCGAGACTTAGACCCGAAAGCTTTGTAACTGCTCTCATGGTGATTCAATAAATAAAATTATAAAAAATGAAAAAAAAAGTAAGGTGGAGTTCATGCCCAATTCAATCAGCTAATCAGTGGCTGAATAAATAGCAGTACTCCTACATTTAAAAAAAAGATGAAGTCATGAAATTTGCATATAAGTGGATCAAAATGTAAAGTATCATGTTAAGTAAAATATGTCAGAAAGAGAGGGACAGACATAGAAAGATTGCACTCATCTGTGGAATATAAAGTAACAGAATAGGAGACTAACACCCAAGAATTGTAGAGATAAGGACCAGGAGGACTGCCCTATGACTTGGAAGCCAGTCTCACATGCTGGAGGAAAAGGCAGCTCAGACAGAGAAGGGAACACCAAGTAAAGGGTGCTGAGTCCCCTGGGGCAGAAAGGGGTCTCACCTGCTGCCCTCCAGGGTGCCCTGAGTGAAACAGCCTGGCGCAGGGTCGGCGGCATGGTTATGGTGAGTGTCACTTTGCTCCCTTCCCCTTCCCAAACAGTAGCACTATAGCACTGTCCTCCCATTGTTCATCGATTTGTTCGAGTGGGTACCAGGAACGTCTCCATTGTGAGACTTGTTGTTACTGTTTTTGGCATATCAAATACACCTGGGGAGCTTGCCAGGCTCCACCTTGTGGGTGGGATACTCTAGCTAGCTTGCCAGGCTCTCTGAGAGAGATGAAGGAATCAAACCCAGGTCGGCCATATGCAAGGCAAACACCCTACCCACTGTGCTGTCAATGGTGACCAATGACAAAGCTATCTGACACCAGGCAAGAATGGCTTATGGGAGCGACTGCTGCCTATCTGTCTGTCTTCTTTTCTTCCTTCCTTCCTTCCTTCCTTCCTTCCTTCCTTCCTTCCTTCCTTTTCTTTCTTTCTCTCTTTTTTGTTACAGATGACAGAAACCACACCTGGTAGTTCATGGTGGGGGAGACACCAAGCCACTCTGGTGGTGCTCAGGGGTCATCAGATTCACACTGAGTAGTATTGGGAGAGTCTGTGGTGCTGGGGATAGAGCAGGGCCTGGCCCTCCATGGTTCTTGCATGTCCCATGTTTTAGGAAAAGCATCAAAGCTGTTCCTTTGGAAGAAGCACAGTTGTGGCCTTCATACACTCATACAGCTGTGGCCAGCTTCATACAGCTGTGGCCAGCAGCTGTGGATCTCTCCTCAGAGCTCAGGACTTCCAAGAACCAGAGTGAGGCCGGGATGAGGAAAAAGCAGAGGGGACACAGGAGGAATTGGTGACTGTGCCCTCAGAGCTGGGTTCAGTTGGGCCACCAGCCACAGTTCTTGCTGGAATTGGGACTTTGTATTTGTGATGGTGTGTGTGTGTGTGTGTGCACATGTGCACGATGTTGTGATGTTAGTGATGGCACATGTGTATGTGTGACAGTGTGTTGTATATAAGGACATGTGTATGTGAAAGGAAGAGACAGAAAGAGGAGAGAGAGAGAGAGAGAGAGAGAGAGAGAGAGAGAGAGAGAGAGAATGGACAAGCTCAAAGGCAAAGGGTGATGGTAGAGGGGTATGTTTGGTTCAATACCCAGCACTGCATATGGTCCCCCAAGCATAGGGGTCACTCCTGAGCACATAGGCACAAATAGACCCTGTGCACCATCGTTGTGGCCCATCTCCTACCAAGCCTTGAAGAGAACAAATCTTCAAAAGGATAAATTGTGCTATATTTGCAAGTGGTCATGATTTTTAAATTACTAACACAACATGAAAAAAACTTTTAAAAGAAATGTCACATCCCACTGAATCAGAAGCTGAATATGAGGCCATGTCAAATTATGTTTCTATGAAGTGCTAGAACAGAGGAAATCATGAAAGACAAGCAGCTACTTCAGGCAGAAGGAGATGGCTCAATGGGCAGAGCACATGCTGTACACACTGGAGGCCCAAGTTCCATCCCTGGGTCCACCCACGGCTCAGAATAGCAAAGAACAGCTAGGAACTCTTTGTGGGTACATTTCCCAGCTTGAGTACCAATGCTGGGTAGTGCAGAGCATAGTACAAATATCCAAACCCTGTGGGAGCTGATGCCTCAGAAGTTGGCCTCCCCATTAGCTACTTCATCCTTTTATAACCCAAGAAGGGTTCAGTCTTGCACTGAACTCTCGCTGGAGTGACCTAGCTATCTGCAAGCACACTGTGCAAAACATAGATTAACCCTAGTCCTTATTAACTATTTCCCACACAACAAGGACAAAGATGGCATGGGAGTAAGAACTCACAAAACCCTAAACTAAACTACAACAGAGTAAAGAAAGGGGTCAATTACACTGAAAGCCTACATAGAATTCTCTAAAGTAATAGTAATGCAGGGAACTGGAATGATAGCACAGTGAGTAGGGCGTTTGCCTTGCACGTGGCTGACCCGGGTTCAATTCCCAGCATCCCATGTGGTTCCCCCAAGCACCACCAGTAATGATTTCTGAGTGCAGAGCCAGGAGTAATCCCTGATTATCGCTGGGTGTGACCCCAAAAAGAGCAAAATAAATTAAGTAAGTAATAGTAATGCAAAAGTAGTAGGTTTCTTCAACAAGGAAGAAGGAAAGCAACACTCAGTTGGTTCCGTCAGGTAGCTCTCTGGAAGGGGCTGCAAGTGGTGAACTAGAAAGTCTCAACTCCAGACTGCACCAGATACAGTGGGGAAGCAGCATAGAAATCACCATGCTAAGTGAGTGGAGACAGCAGCACAGAAGACTAAGCAGCTCTATAACCCCTCAAGTTAGGACTTTCAAGAGAACATGTTGAGGATGTTTACTGAGATCAGAGAAACAATGCACAAGTCCAAGAAAGCATAAGGTTAGATATGAGAAAACTACAGTCATAAACAACACAGGCTTGGGGCCATATCAAGAAGACAGCTGGTAGGGCACTTGCCTTGCACACAGTCAAAAAAGGTCCAATACCCAACATTCCATATTGTCCCCTAAACACTACCAGAGGTGATCTTGAAAGCAGCTACATGTGGAAGAAGAAGAAGGAGGAGGAAGAGGAGGAGGAGGAGGAAGAGGAGGAGGAGGAGGAGGAGGAAGAGGAGCAGCAGCAGCAGCAGGAGCAGGAGCAGGAGCAGCAGCAGGAGGAGGGCAGCAGAAGGAGGAGGAGGAGGAGCAGGAAGAGGAGCAGCAGGAGGAGGAAGAAGAGCAGTAGGAGGAAGAGGAGCAGAAGGAAGAGGAGGAGCAGCAGCAGCAGGAGGAGGAGGAGCAGAAGGAGGAGGAGGAACAGTAGAAGTAGGAGGAGGAGCAGCAGGAAAAAGAGGAGGAGCAGCAGCAGGAGAGGAGAAACAGCAGGAGGAGGAGGAGCAGCAGGAGGAGGGGAAGCAGCAGGAGGAGTAGGAGCAGGAAAAGGAGCAGGAGGAGGAAGAACAGCAGGAGGAGGAGGAGCAACAGGAAGAGGAGAAGAAGCAGCAGGAGGAGGAGAAGTAGCAGGAGGAGGAGGAGCAGCAGAAGGAGGAGGAGGAGCAGCAAGAGGGGGAGGAGCAGCAGGAGGAGGAGAAGCAGCCGCAGGAGAGGAGAAGCAGCAGGAGGAGGAGAAGCAGGAGGAGGAGAAGCAGCAGGAGGAAGAGGGGGAGGAGGAGCAGGAGGAGGAGGAGCAGCAGCAGGAGAGGAGGAGCAGCAGGAGGAGGAGCACGAGGAGGAGGAGGAACAGTAGGAGGAGGAGGAGGAGCAGAAGGAGAAGGAGGAGCAGGAGGAGGAGGAGCAGGAGGAGGAAGAGCAGCAGGAGAAGGAGAAGCAGAAGGAGGAGGAGGAGCACGAGGAGGAGGAGCAGCAGGAGGAGGAGCAGCAAGAGGAGGAGGAGCAGCAGGAGGTGGAGCAGCAAGAAGAGGAGGAGCAGCAGGAGGAGGAGAAGAAGTGAGAGAGAGGAGGAGCAGCAGGAGGAGGAGGAGCAGCAGCAGGAGGATGAGCAGGAGGAGAAGGAAAAGGAGCAGCGGGAGGAGGAGCAGGAGGAGGAGGAGCAGCAGGAAGGAGGAGCAGGAGGAGGAGGAGAAGGAGAAGCAGCAGGAGGAGGAGCAGCAGGAGCAGCAGGAGAAGGAGGAGGAACAGCAGGAGCAGCAAGAGCATCAGGAGAAGGAGGAGGAAGTGGAGCAGGAGGAGGAGGAGGAGCAGCAGGAGGAGGAAGAGGAGGAGGAGCAGCAGGAGGAGGAAAAGGAGGAGTAGGAGGAGGAGGAGAAGGAGAAGCAGCAGGAGGAGGAGCAGCAGGAGCAGCAGGAGAAGGAGGAGGAGGAGGAACAGCAGGAGCAGCAAGAGCATCAGGAGAAGAAGAAGGAGGAGCAGCAGCAGGAGGAGGAGGAGCAGCAGGAGGAGGAAGAGGAGGAGGAGCAGCAGGAGGAGGAGGAGCAGGAGGAGGAGGAGCTGGAGGAGGAGCAGCAGGAGGAGGAAAAGGAGGAGCAGGAGGAGGAGGAGTAACTGGAGGAGGAGGAGAAGGAGGAGGAAAAGGAGGAGCAGCAGGAGGAGGAGGAGCAGCAGCAGGAGGAGAAGGAACTGCCGCAGAAGGAGGGGGAGGAGGAGGAGCAGCAGCAGGAGGAGGGGGAGGAGGAGGAGAAGGAGAAGGAGGAGGAGTAACAGGAGGAGGAGGATGGGCAGCATGAGGAGGAAGAGTAGCAGCAGGAGAAGGAGGAGGAAGAGCAGCAGTAGGAGAAGCAGCAGGAGGAGGAGGAGTAGCAGCAGGAGGAGAAGGAGAAGGAGGAGGAGGAACAGGAGGAGGAGGTGCAGCAGGAGGAGTAGGAGGAGGAGCAGAAGGAGGAGGATGAGAAGCAGGAGGAGGAGAAGGAGCAGCAGGAGGAGGAAGAGCAGCAGGAGAAGGAGCAGCAGCAGGAGGAGGGGGAGGAGGAGGAGCAGCAGGAGGAGGAGGATGAGCAGCAGGAGGAGGAGCAGGAGAAGGAGGAGGGGCATGAGGAGGAGTAGCAGGAGGATGAGGAGCAAGAGGAGGAGTAAAAGGAGGAGGAGCAGGAGGAGCAGGAGGAGGAGTAGGAGCAGCAGCAGGAGGAGGAGGAGGAGACAGAGCAGCAGGAGGAGGAGGAGTAGCAGGAGGAGAAGGAGGAGCATCTGGAGGAGGAGCAGGAGGAGGAGGAGCAGGAGAAGGAGGAGGAGCAGGAGGAGGAGTAGCAGGAGGAGGAGAAGCAGCAGGAAAAGAAGGAGCACCAGGAGGAGGAGGAGGAGGAGCAGGAGGAGGAGGAGCAGCAGGATGAGGAGTAGCAGGAGGAGGAGGATGAGCAGCAGGAGGAGGATGAGCAGCAGGAGGAGGAGCAGGAGAAGGAGGAGGGGCATGAGGAGGAGTAGCAGGAGGATGAGGAGCAAGAGGAGGAGTAAAAGGAGGAGGAGCAGGAGGAGCAGGAGGCGGAGTAGGAGCAGCAGCAGGAGGAGGAGGAGGAGACAGAGCAGCAGGAGGAGGAGGAGTAGCAGGAGGAGCAGGAGGAGGAGCAGGAGGAGGAGGAGCAGGAGGAGGAGGAGGAGCAGGAGGAGGAGTAGCAGGAGGATGAGGAGCAAGAGTAGGAGGAGGAGGAGGAGGAGCAGGAGGAGGAGGACGATGAGGAGGAGCAGCAGGAGGAGGAGGAGCATGAGGAGGAGCAGCAGGAGCATCAGGAGGAGGAGGAGGAGCAGAAGGAGGAGGAGCTGATGGAGGAGGAGCTGATGGAGGAGGAGGAGGAGGAGAAGCAGGAGGAGAAGCAGGAGGAAGAGGAGGATTAGGGGAGGAGGAGGAGGAGGAGGAGGAGCAAATGGAAAAGGAGCAGCAGGAGGAGGAGGAGCAGGAGGAGGAGGAACAGCAGGAGCACAAGGTACAGCAGGAGGAGGAGGAGGAGCAGGAGGAGCAGGAGGAGGAGAAGCAGGAGGAGTAGGAGCAGAAGGAAAAGGAGCAGCAGGAGGAGGAGGAGCAGCAGGAGGAGGAGAAGCAGCAGGAGGAGGAGGAGCAGGAGGAGAAGGAGGATTACGGTAGTAGTAGGAGGAGGAGCAAGAGGAAAAGGAGCAGCAGGAGGAGGAGGAGCAGGAGTAGAAGGAACAGCAGGAGGAGGCGGAGCAGCAAGAGGAGGAGAAGCAGCAGGAGGAGGAGGAGCAGGAGGAGGAGGAGGATTAGGGGAGTGGAGTAGGAGCAGGAGGAGCAGCAGGATCAGAAGGTGCAGCAGGAGCAGTAGGTGGAGTAGCAGGAGGAGAATCAGCAGCAGGAGGAGAAGGAGCAGCAGGAGGAGGAGTTGCAGGTGGAGGAGGAGGAGCAGGAGGAGCAGGAGCAGGAGGAGGAGGAGCAGGAGGAGGAGGAGAATCAGCAGCAGCAGGAGGAGGAGCAGCAGGAGAAAGATGAGGATAAGGAGTAGGAGCAGCAGGAGAAGCAGCAGCAGCAGGAGAACGATGTGGAGGAGAGGCAGGAAGAGGAGGAGGAGGAGGAGCTCAGGAGGAGGAAGAGGAGGAGCAGCAGGAGGAGGAGGAGGAGCAGAAGGAGCAACAGGACCAGCATGAGAACGAGGACGAAGAGAGGCAGGAAAAGGAGGAGGAGAAGCTCAGGAGGAGGAAGAGGAGGAGCAGCAGGAGGATTGGGAGCAGAAGGAGCAACAGGACCAGCAGGAGAAGGAGCAGCAGGATGAGGAACAGGAGGAGCAGGAGGAGGAAGCGGAGCAGGAGGAGGACCAGCAGGAGGAGGAGGAGGAGCAACAGGAGGAGAAGTAGGAGGATCAGGAGGAGGAGGAGGAGCAGGAGGAGGAGCAGCAGGAGGAGGGGGAGCAGCAGGAGGAGAAGGAGCAGAAGGAGGAGGAGGAGTAGCAGGAGGAGGAGGAGCAGGAGCAGGAGGAGGAGCTGCAGGAGGAGGAGGAGCAGAAGGAGGAGGAGGAGCAGAAGGAGGAGGAGGAGGAGCAGGAGGAGGAGCTACAGGAGGAGGTGCAGGAGGATGAGAAGTAACAGCAGGAGGAGGAGCAGTAGAAGGAGTAGGAGGAGAAGGAGGAGCAGCAGGAGGAGTAGGAGCCGCAGAAGGAGGAGGAGCAGCAGGAGGAGGAGGAGCAGAAGGAGGAGGAGGAGCAGAAGGAGGAGGAGGAGGAGCAGGAGGAGGAGCTACAGGAGGAGGTGCAGGAGGATGAGAAGTAGCAGCAGGAGGAGGAGGAGGAGCAGGAATAAGAGGAGGAGCAGGAGAAGGAGCAGCAGGAGGAGAAGGAGCAGCAGAAGGAGGAGGAGCAGCAGGAGGAGGAGGAGCAGCAGGAGGAGGAGGAGCAGGTGGAGGAGGAGGAGCAGGAGGAGGAGGAGGAGCAGGAGCAGCAGCAGGAGAAGGAGAAGGAGGAGGAGAGGCAGGAAGAGTAGGAGGATGAGGAACTCAGATTGAGGAAGAGGAGGAGCAGCAGGATGAGGAGGAGCAGCAGGAGCAACAGTAGCAGCAAGAGGAGGAGTAGCAGCAGGAGGAGGAGGATGAGCAGGAGGAGGAGGAGCAACAGGAGGAGGAGCAGGAGGATCAGGAGGTGGAACTGCAGGAGGAGGAGTTGCAGGAGGAGGAAGAGCAGCAGGAGGAGAAGGAGCAGAAGGAGGAGGAGAAGCAGGAGGAGGAGGAGCAGTAGGATGAGAAGGAGGAGGAGCAGCAGGAGGAGGAGGATCGGCAGGAGGAGGATGAGCAGAAGGAGGAGGAGCAGGAGGAGGAAAAGGAGGAGGAGCAGCAGGAGGAGGAGCAGCAGGAGGAGAAGGAGCTGCAGGAGGAGGAGGAGGAGCAGGAGGAGGAGGAGGAGCAGCAGGAGGAGGAGGAGGAGCAGGAGGAGCAGCAGGAGAAGGAGGAGCACAAGGAGGAGCAAGAGAAGGAGGAGGAGGAGTAGCAGGAGGCGGAGTAGGAGAAGCAGGAGCAGCAGCAGGAGCAGCAGGAGGAGGAGGAGCAGCAGAAGGAGGAGGAGCAGATGGAGCAGGAGGATGAACAGCAGGAGGAGGAGCAGGAACAAGAGGAGGAGGAACAGGAGAAGGAGGAGGAGCGGCAGGAGGAGGAGGAGCAGGAGGAGGAAAAGGAGGAGCAGCAGGAGGAGGAGGAGCAGGAGGAGGAGGAGCAGGAGCAGGAGGGGGAAGAGTAGGAGGACGAGGAAGAGGAGCAGGAGGAGGAGCAGGAGGAGGAACAGAAGGAGGAGAAAGAGCAGCAGGAGGAGGAGGAGGAGCAGCAGGACAAGGAGGAGCAGGACGAGGAGGAATAGGGGAGCAGGAGGAGGAGGAGCAGGAGGAAAAGGAACAGCAGGAGGAGGAGGATCAGGAGGAGCTGCAGGAGGAGGAGGAGCAGCAGCAGCAGGAGCAGGAGGAGGAGGAGCAGCAGCAGTAGAGAAGGAGGAACAGCAGGAGGAGGAGGAGCAGGAGGGAAAGGAGTAGCAGGAGGAGGAGTATCAGGAGGAGGAGGAGCACCAGGAGGAGGAAGAGCAGCAGGATGAGGAGGAGGAGGAGGAGCAGCAGGATGTGGAGGAGGAGCTGGAGGAGGAGAAACAGTAGGAGGGGGAGGAGCAGCAAGAGCAGCAGGAGGAGGAAGAGCAGGAGGAGGAAAAGGAGGTGCAGCAGGAGGAGGAGCAGGAGCAGCAGGAGGAGGATCAGCAGAAGGAGCAGGAGTAGGAGGAGGAGCCGGAGGAAAAGGAGGAGCAGGAGGTGGAGGAGCAGCAGGAGGAGGAGGAGCAGCAGGAGGAGGCAGAGCAGCAGGAGGAGCAGGAGTAGGAGGAGGAGGAGGATTAGGGGAGCAGGAGGAGGAGGAGCAGCAGGAGTAGCAGGAGGAGGAGCAGCAGCAGCAGGAGGAGGAGCAGCAGGAGGAGGAGCAGCAGGTGCAGCAGGAGTAGCAGCAGGAGGAGGAGCAGCAGGAGGAGGAGCAGGAGGAGCAGAAGGAGCAGCAGGAGCAGCAAGAGCAGCAGGAGGTGGAAGAGGAGGAGGAGGAAAAGGAGGAGCAGGAGGAGGAGGAGCACCAAGAGGAGATGCAGCAGGAGGAGGAGGAGCAGGAGGAGGAGGTTGATTAGGGGAGCAGGAGGAGGAGGAGCAGGAGGAAAAGGAGCAGCTGGAGGAGGAGGAGCAGGACGAACTGCAGGAGGAGGAGGAGCAGCAGGAGCAGAAGGTGCAGCAGGAGCAGCAGGAGGAGGAGTAGGATCAGGAGCAGCAGGAGGAGGAGGAGCAGGGGGGAGGAGGAGCACCAGCAGGAGGAGGAGCGGAAGGAGGAGGAGGAGCAGCAGCAAGAGGAGTAGGAGGAGCAGCAGGATGAGGAGAGGAGCAGGATGAGGAGGCGCAGGAGGAGGAGGAGGAGGAGCGGGAGAAGGAGGAGGAGCAGCAGGAGGAGGAGGAGGAGCAGCAGCAGCAGCAGGAGAAAGAGGAGGAGAGGCAGGAAGAGGAGGAGGACGAGGAGCTCAGGAGGATGAAGAGGAGGAGCAGCAGGAGGAGGAGGAGGAGCAGCAGCAGCAGGAGAAGCAGGAACAGCAGGAGGAGGAGGAGGAGCAGCAGGAGCAGGAGCAACAGGAGGAGGAGGAGCAGGAGGAGGAGCAGGAGAAGCAACAGGAGGAGGAGGAACAGCAGGAGGAAGAGGAGCAGGAGGAGCAGGAGGAGGAGGAGCAGCAGCAGCAGGAGGACGAGGAGGAGCAGCAGTAGGAGATGGAGTAGAAGGAGGAGAAGGAGGAGCAGCAGCAGGAGAAGATCAGCAGGAGGAGGAGGATCAGCAGGAAGAGGATGAGCAGAAGGAGGAGGAGTAGGAGGAGGAGGAGGATCAGCAGCATGAGCAGGAGCAGCAGCAGGAGGAGAAGGAGCAGCAGTAGGACGAGGAGGAGCAGCAGGAGGAGGAGGAGCAGCAGCAGGAGAAGGAGCAGCAGGAGAAGAAAAGGGAGGAGCAGCAGAAGGAGGAGGAGCTGTAAGAGGAGGAGGAGCAGCAGGAGAAGGAGGAGGCGGAGCAGCAGTAGGAGGAGGAGGAGCAGCAGGTGGAGGAGGAGCAGCAGGTGGAGGAGGAGCAGCAGGATGAGGAGGAGGAGCAGCAGGAGGAGGAGCAGCAGGAGAAGGAGGAGGCGGAGCAGCAGTAGGAGGAGGAGGAGCAGCAGGTGGAGGAGGAGCAGCAGGATGAGGAGGAGGAGCAGCAGGAGGAGGAGCAGCAGCAGGAGCAGCAGGAGGAGGTGCAGCAGCAGGAGCAGCAGGAGCAGCAGGAGAAGGTGTAGGAGGAGGAGCAGCAGGAGCAGCAAGAGCAGCAGGAGAAGGAGGAGGAGGAGCAGCAGGAGGAGGAGGAGGAGAAGCAGCAGGAGCAGCAGCAGCAGCAGGAGAAGGAGGATGAGGAGCAGCAAGCGGAGGAGGAGGAGCAGGAAGAGGAGTTGAAGTTGGAGGAGGAGGAGCAGCAGGAGGAGGAGGAGCAGGTGGAGGAGCAGGAGGAGGAGGAGGAGGAGCCGCAGCAGAAACAGGAGCAGGAATACGAGCAAGAGCAGGAGCAGGAACAGGAGTAGATGGTGGTAGAGGAGGAAGAGGAGGAAGATGAAGAGGGAGAGGAGGAGGAGCAACTGTAGCAGAGGAGAAAATCAGTAAGCTCTAGAAAACAGCATAAGATGGAATAAAGCCTCAAAATAAATGAACGGCACATGAGAGATGAGTTCAGGAGAAACAACTTAAGAATCATCAGATTCCATGAAGAACAAGAAGGCTATTCTGATCTCTAATCAAAGAAATCATGTGGCTGAGAAGTTACCCAGAGCTGAGGAGTGCACGCACCCAGTTTCAAAGTCCCAAAGGGTACCTAGACAAAAAGTCATAAAAATACTACAAGACACATTATTTTTAAAAAACACTCCATTGCCATGCTACGGGAAAGGGCAGCTCAGAGAGAGAAGGGAACACCAAGTAAAGGGTGTTCGGAGGATTCTCCCAGGATGGGAGATGCATGCTGAAAGTAGACTATGGACCGAACAAATTTGCCACTCAATGCCTCTTTTGCAAACCTTAGCAACCAAAAGGAGAGAGCAGCAGGAGCAACCAAAAGGGAATGCCCTGTCACAGAGGCAGGGTGGGATGGGGGGGATGGGGAGTGGGAGGGATACTGGGACCCATGGTGGTGGAAAATGTGCACTGGTGAAGGGATTGATAATTGGTTATTGATGGGATGGGGGTATGGGAGGGGTGGGAGTGTTACTGGGGTCATTGGTGGTGGAGAATGGGCACTGGTGGAGGGATGGGTACTTGATCATTGTATGACTGAAACCCAAATACAAAAACTTGTAAGGTCAACAACTGTACCACATGGTGTTTCACGAATAAAAAAAAATTTTTTAAATACTCCATTGTAACATAAAGTAACAAAATAGGAGACTAACACCCAAGAGTGTCCGAGATTAGTAAAGTAAGTAAAGTAAAGGCCCTCCCGTTGATCATCGATTTGCTTGAGAGGGCCCAGTAACGTCTCCATTGGAGACTTTGTTGTTACTGTGTCTGGCATATCGAATATGTCACGGGGAGCTTGCCAGGCTCTGTCGTGCGGGTGAGATACTCTCGGTAGCTTGCCGGGCTCTCCGAGAGGGGCGGAGGAATAGAACTCGGGTCGGTCATGTTGGCTGCGTGCAAGGCAAACGCCCTACCGCTGTGCTATCGCTCCAGTACGAGATTAGTACCAGGAATTTTGCTCCATGGCTTGGAGGCCAGCCACACATGCTAGGGGCAAAGGGAGCTCAGATAGAGAAGGGAGCACCAAATAAAGTGTGTTGGGAGGATCCTTCCAGGATGGGAGAAACATGCTGAAAGTAGACTATAGACCAAACATGATTGCCACTCAATGCCTCTCTTGCAAACCACAACACCCAAAAGAAGAGAGAGAGAACAAAAAGGAATGCCCTGCCACAGAGGCAGGGTGGGATGGGGGGGGATGGGGAGTGGGAGGGATACTGGGACCCATGGTGGTGGAAAATGGGCACTGGTGAAGGGATTGATAATTGGTTATTGTATAACTGAAACCCAAGCTCAAAAATTTGTAAGTCTACAACTGTACCTCATGGTGTTTCACTAATAAAAAATATTAAAAAAATAAATACTCTATTGTTACAAAAAAGTACCAAAAAAAATACTCCAAGACATTATAGTCAGTATGACAACAGTCAAAGGTGGAGATATAATATTGAAATCAGGAAGATTAAAGAAGAAAATTTCACTCAAGGAACGTTCTTAAAATTAACAGCAGCTTTATTGAATGAGATCCTGAGAGCCCAAAGGCAAGTATCATTTTCAAAAACTCAATGAAATGAAAACTTCACCAAGAATATGCTACTCAACTAGACTATCACTCATATTTAAGGGAATGTGACAAAGCATCACAGTCAAGCAACAGCTCAGAACATAGTACCTTTGAATACAACCTACAAGAATTGAAAGAATTGAAGGGGCTTCTTTAAGACATGATAAAATTCATAAGAACTCCTAACTTTTCCAGAAAGAGAAAAAAAAACTATGTTAATACATAAAGGGGCTAGAGCAATAGCACAGCGGTAGGGCATTTGCCTTGCACGCAGCCAACATGGCCGACCCGAGTTCGATTCCTCCGCCCCTCTCGGAGAGCCCAGCAAGCTACCGAGAGTATCTCGCCCGCACGGCAGAGCCTGGCAAGCCACCCGTGATGTATTCGATATGCCAAACACAATAACAAAATCTCCAATGGAGACGTTACTGGGCCCACTCGAGCAAATCGATGATCAATGGGAGGGCCTTTACTTTACTTTTTTCTATGTTCTAAAGTCTCTGAACCATGCAGCCACATATGTAGCTTGTGATGCCTCCTAATTCCTGAAAACTGAAATTCCAGTTGGAGTGCACTAAATTAGATGTGAAAGTAACACAGAAGCCAAATAAACTCAAAAAACAAATACAATAACACAGAACGGTAAACTAAAAACAAACAGCTAAATGAAGTTTTAGATAAGGACTTAACAACTTTGTGTCAGATATAACAACCTTCACATTAAAGTTAATTTGTTAAACTTACTAGTTTTCTCTTTTTTATTTTTATTAGTGAAACACCATGAAGTACAGTTGTATACTTACAAATTTTTGTGCTTGGGTTTCAGTTATACAATGATCGAGCACCCATCTCTCCACCAGTGCCCATTCAACACCACCACTGATACCAGTATCCCTCC